AATGAAGTGTGTGTTTAAATGATCCCTTGCCTAAACTATCATGAAAATTTCAGATGGGATGAGAAGAAGGAATGCCACCAAGGGCAGCTTGTTGGAAGCTTGCTACTACTTAGAGACTAAAATAGTGTAATCAGCAAACACTCCGTCACTTTAATGCTTCCCCAGTGAAATCCAACTTTTTGTTTCCTGGCTCAACCACTCTCTTGCATTTTCCTCAATCGCTCCCACACAAATACTAGGATCCATTTTCATTTTGGCACACCTCATTTTCCTGTTTGGTAGAAACTAGAGTTAAGAACAGAATTATTTATCTTGATGTATACAATACATTTTTGAAGAATCAACGTGGTTTTGTAAAGCCTTCTTAACCTGTGAAAGCTCTTCAAAGTAAACATGTGCATCAAGAAGGTGCAGTTAGATTTCCAAAAGGTTTTTTGCAAGGGCTTGCATCAAACTTCCTGAAAGAAACTGGTCTTTGTTGTTAGGATATTAAAGAAGGAAAAGTCTATATGGGAACAAAATTAGGTAGGAAATGATAGGAAACAAATTTCTGGAGGCTGGGAGGGTGTAAGAGGGATGTGTCACATCCCTGGTGTTCTTCCACTCTTTCTGAGTTCCCTGCTCTTGGCTGAAAGCAGGATACTGGGATTGGTTTGAAATAGCACAATTATGTTCTGTTATCTAATTATTTCAAAGGTTTTGTCTCATTTCTGCCTTGATTTGTTTCCACACCCCCAAACACATTTCCTCTGACCCAGTTTTCTGTTTTTCCTGATCGCTCACAGGGCCAAGCGACTTCCCAAGAGCTTTCTTTCACTCTCCTGTTGATGTGCCCTGTGTCTCCATGTGCTGGGGATCTGTGAAAAAAAGGATCCACTGGGAATTTTTAGCACTTTAAGGCAAGATTTTTTTAAAATGGCTGTTTGCTAAATGCGTCACTCGGAAATTTGTGGGGAAAATTCAGCCTAGGTTAACTGACTGCATAAACATTTAGACTTTATGATCTTCCAAAGTAGATAAGCATTTAAGAATGATGTGTGCTAGTGAAAGACACCTCTGCTTACAGCTAGACACAAAATTAGGTTGGTTTTCTTTTTTTTTGCTTCATTTAGAGCTCACTTCATCCCAAATTGAGAGAAAAGCATTCAGTTTAGGAATCTGTCATGGACTGGAAACTGTTTGAATTTCATGTCAAAATCATGTTATGAAATATTTTATGACAGAGATGTCAAAATGAAATGTTTCACCACTTCTGGCCCTGAACAGGAAAGTCTCTAATGGTCATTTTTAGTTAGATTTTCTAGCCTGTCAGCCAAGGAAGCAGAGGAGAAATTGAACCTGTAGTTTTGGGTTTCTTTTTTTTTTTTCCTTCAGCCACTTAAAGTACACACTGGTCTTTTTTTTCCCAAGAATATTACCAAAATGAAGTCCTCAACATCTAGAAAAAGCTTTCTAGGATATTTATTTCACCCAGCAAGCATTCTTTAAGATCTTTGTAGGTGGGTCCTACCCTCAGGGGTACTGCTGATACAGGAGATTATCAGACCTGCTTTTTCCACACCCTGATGTTCATGAAGTTTAAAGGATCATCTGCATCTCGAGGTCTCTTTGCAAACCCCAGTACAGTTTCCTCAAAGAAGTTTTTTAGTAAAGAGACTCCACAAATAATTTAATGATTTGCCACCTACTAGTTCTTCTATAGCTTAGATTTGGAACTTTCTTTCCTTTTGTGATGGAACCACTGACTTGTATCAATACTGTAGGTGAAATACTGAAATTTTTGGAAAAGGAGGAAGATACGAGAAAATGGCCTAAGGAGCAGCAGATACCTAATCAGTTATAATTAACAGAGTGAGACACCTATGAAAAACCACCCACTTGTCCTTTGGATTGAAAGACTCTTGCCAAATTTTACCTAAATTAACTTCTTTCACTTCTGAAAAGAAAAATCAGGCCTGGAGAGACAAAAAGTGTCCATGTGGGCATTGCACAGACAACCTTTGTGTCATTTATTTTGGTGTTCAGCCCCCCAGGCTGCCTGTCCTGGAAGAGTGGCAGACACTGGAAATGTTTGAATAATTTGGCTGTAGATTTAATGAAGTTACAGGCATTGTCCCCCTCAAGGCTGGTGCTTCCTCCTTGGAAAATCTGTCCCAAACACTGAATTTGAGGCAGAAATTTTCTATGTGCTGTGGTGAGCAGTGAAAGCTGAAAGCCCAGTATTAGATGTCATTACTGGATTCTTTTTTGATATTGGTTTTTAATATGTGTGCTCCTATTTTTAGAGTTTTATTCTGACTCTGTAATAGCAACCATTCCATTTTGGTGTGAGGGCTTTTCTATTAGCAGTGATCAAAGTGAAGTATTTCATGTGTGTTACAAAAAGAGACACTTGAGATGAATGAGGTTCTGCCGGATTTGGGGAGTGGGATGGTTCTGATCTTCGATCTGACTTACAAAGTTAGGAAATTAATGACACAAAGCAGCTCCCTCACAAACAGATAATAACAGAGCTTTAGCAATAAAAGTTCAGAAAACAATTCAGAACCTCTTTCTAATACACTGCAAAAAATATTCTGGGTGCTATTAGGGCTTATAAATAATTCTCTGACATTTGTTTGGTTTAAAAACTAAACTGAGGCACCATTTTCTTAAGAACAAATTGAGGTCTCGGAGAACTACAGAATTCAAATATGGGGCTGCTTTAGACCTCATTCCCTTTAGAGTGAGTGAGGCAGCAGGGCTCTATTCTCATTTATTTTTATTTTGTAAGGAGTACTTTAATATAAAGGATATATAAAATTCAATATAAAGAATGGGTAATTTTCAGCAAGAATAAGTGATCTTAGCCTCTTTCTTAGCATCTTGTGTATTCTAAGCAAATCTTTCTTGAAAATTTCTCCTGAACTCAAGGGCACTGGCTTCAGTTGGTACCAAAGGAGAAGAAATTGGAGTGAGGGAGAAGTTTGATTTCTACCTTGAATTCATTATTATTTACCTTTCAGTTTCTGATAACCGATGGAAGGTAAATATAGGCAATAAATTACTGGTTTAAAGTCAGGCTGCCTTTCTGCCTGTAATTAATGTAGCACAGAGTCAGGCTGTTGATGTTCTCCAGAAGTTAACAAGCTGAGCACAGAACTATGTTTAGATTTAAGCCCTCTCTGAAGATTTGCATTTCTTGGAGCAGCTTTGCCCTGCTCCTGCTTTGCCCACATCTGTTCATCAGAAGGAGCTTTCCTTTAGCCCCTTTTGCTCAGCCCTGTACCAAAAGTGCAGAGGATGAAGAAGGAGGGTAAATCACAACCTGGAAATACAAGAAACACTTGTCCCCTGTGCTTTGGCATGATTGCAGTACTGCTGGCACAGTTAAAGATGTTTTTGGGAGGGATCTGTGTTAAAGGGCTGCCAGATTGTGGAGCCTCACCCTTGGGTTGTTCGCATCCATTGTCCATGCTGTGCTCAGGGAAGGAGCAGCTCTGCTCTCCCACAGCTCTCACTGTTTGAACATTGGGACTTTTGGAAGCTCAGCTCTCCCAGATGCTTTTCCTCCATGGAGAAGCAGTGCCCAGGACAAGGATAGGCTGTGGCTTTTCCATAAATATCTCCTTGCCTCGTCAGCCCTCTGGATTTCCAGACTAAGCTTTTGCATTGTTTCTGTGGGACTTTGGAAAAGCCCTCAGGTAAAAAATGGTCACTCCTTGACTTAAACCCATTTCATGGGGAACATTAGCATTAAATCATGTTAATTAACATTAATATGACTTACATGGCACAAGACCTATCTTTGGGTTTAGCAGCACTCTAGGAATAATTTAAAAGATGAGCTATTGCTCCCATTGGGATTTTGACTTGAATCCACTAAAGGCAATGGGTGTCCTTGAACTGGCTAAGAAGGCTTTGGGTCAGGAGGTAATTTCTGAGCAGTTTTCCTGGCTCTTCATTCTGCTTTGTGATGTCTTCTTTATGCTGGGCTGTATATCAGGGCCCTGCAGAGCAAACCTCTTAACATCCTTTTGCTGTTCCGGACCCTGAGGCAATGAGCCATGTGGTTTTTTGATGATCATATGAAGATTCAATCTATTTTTAGGGCAATCTTGTTGCCAGGAATAATTTCTAGGACTTCTGATTTGAATGGTGAATTATGTGTCCGTGTAAATGCCTGAAATGGATATTTAAAAATACTTTTTCCTGACTTAATGTTTTACAGATTAACACCTCTAATGCTGTTACCAAAAAAGCAATTTTATTTTCTATCTATTTTGAATTTTTGAATTTTTGACTGGTGTCATTGGAGACTTCTAGGCCAACACCAGACTTTGGTTTCAAAGCCCCAAGCAGGTGTAAGTCAGTACATTTAACAGATGAACAGGAAGGTGATGAAGAGACCACACCCAGTGAATTTTGTACAATCTCTTTCCAACTTCAGTGCAAATATTATTTCATGTTCAGTGTTCTGTGTAACATGCCCCAATGCTCTGACCTCTGTAATTCTCAGTGCTTCCCCATCCAAGACTTGAGGAATGCATTGATTTTCCTTCCATCATGCAATAAGCACGAGTCTCGCATCCAGCCCATATTGACACCATTTAAATAAATCAAAGGGGGCACTTGGGTATTCTCCCACTCGCCTGTAGGTTGATGGAAGAATAGATTGCTTTAATACCTCAGTGATTTATTTGTCAGTACAGACAGCCTATCATAAAAATAATCAGTATCAGAAATGTTCTTTGGAAGAATCATTGGGTCTATCAATATCTTGGGTGGCTTAATCATCAAATTCATTGCTTTTATTAGATTTAAATGTATAAATTCATTTTAGAATGGATTTGAACTTTTAAAGCATTTTACTGCTTAGTTGATTGCTTTTTCAAGTATTTTAGTTTCTGAATAGCTCCCCAGTATTTGGATTTGCACAAAAGGTTAAAAGGCCTGGAAGGATATTTTCTTCAAAATTGTCTTTAATGGCTCTACTTTCTTCTCTTTATCTAGGTACAACAATGGTGGTGCATGTGCTGTTCCAGTGGATTCTGAGAGGGCTTATTCTGACTTTTCTGCTCACAACTACTCTGTCCCTAAATCCAGATGATCCAAATGTTTGTAGTCACTGGGAAAGGTAATGTGTAACCTGCCAGTTTTTATTTTTTTACCATCCATCTCAGATTTTTTTACATTTACAAGGCAAGCTGAGAGCCATAATTTGCTAAATACCACCACATCTCAGAAAAGAGCACAGATTTACTTTAAGAAATGGTACTTCTGAGTGCCTTGGAGGGTTTGGTTCATCCCAAGGGATTGGTTCTAAGGCTACAGCTATTGGCCGGATCCCCCTGTGCCCTTTGGGAAGCTCCTCCAGATTCTGAGCAACAGGAGTGCACTGAAGTGTTTGCATTTATCATGGAGAGACCCACAGAAATCCTGGCCTTGTTCTGGCCTGCATTTTTCTGCTTGTTGTCCAGCAAGAAAGTTTGAAGCCCTTCCTGCTGTAACATCCAGGCTGGTTTTGTCTGGCCTGAACTTTGGGGCTCTTCCTGCCAAATTCGTGTCGACATCAAAGAGTGAATGAAAGTGAACTGAACATGAAAGGCCCTGGAATTTCTTGTTTCTATTGTTCCAGTGTCCTGGTCCTAAAAGTAGATCTGAGCAGGCCAGTTCCTGTGAGCACAGAGAAACCCACAGCCTTTGATGGGGCTCACACTCACACAGGGGCTGTTTGCAGAGGCTAAAGGTCCTGCACTTCTCAGTTTAACCTGATAAATTTCCAGTTCTGCTCTCACAGAATTCAGAACTCACAGGTTCAATTCCACACAAATCTGAATTTCTGTACACTTCAGCAAAATACTCCCCTTAACAAAGGTAAAAATAGAATCATATTTAATGGCTATGTTTTGAGGCCTTAATTAGAGAATTAACTCTTTGTAGATAATGCAACTGCAAAGCAAAGACCGTACAGGAAGAGGATTTTGCAGTCTGTGTGCTGGAAGTGCATTCAGAGCACAGGAATAAAATATTGATTTTGTCTGAAGAAAGTCAGCAACCTAGAGACCCAATCAAGGAGAAACAAAAATTAAATACCAAAATTGATTGGTTGTACTGACCAAGATGACTTTGTTAGTTAGATGTTAATAAATCAAAGGGAAAAGATTGTTAGGGCTATTGCTGGATAATAAACGGGATCGTAAAATAATCATTGAGATTTGCAAGTGTTACTGTCTTACATTAATAATGAGCAATGTAAATATTTTATATTTTGGCATTAGCAGAAATAAAAACATTATTGTCAAACCCAGCAAACAGTGACAGAGGGCAAAGCAACATCCAGGGGAACCTTGCCTTGTCTAGAAGGGACACGACAAGCAGGGCAGGAACAGCCCAATCTTCGATTTCAAGCCAGTCAGCCCCTCCAAGCAAATATCTTGGTATTACCTTGTGGGTGCAATCTCCCAGGGCTTAATCACATCTGCAGTCCTGCTGATGAGAGGGAAATCAGCTGCAGAATTAAGACAATCGATATAATGAGTGACCCAGAGATCTAGCTCCTGGGTCTTGACCTGCCTGGGGTGATTTGTGTATTGTTCTCTGGAGATATTGTAGATGTGACGAAGTGGAACTTGTGTCCAGATCAGCCCCTGAGAGAGGAGTCCCTTGAGCAGTGCACACAGCTGCTATGGGGCACTGCTCTGCCATGACTGACCCCAACATGAGATTTGGGTTCCTGTATCATGTGAATCAATAATGAACACAGAACCTGTTGCATGGCTAAGTGGTGTTTTGGGAAGATTGCTCAGTTCTTGCTATTATTGGAGCTCTGTGATTTCTCATCAAATTGCCTAAATTTTGTCCATATACATTCACTTTTTCACCTTCTAAATTTTCATGAATTTTAATAATATTTGTTTTTTTCCTAAAAGAGAATGGTTTATTGCTCACCACAATATCCTATGCCTATATCAGCCATGAAGCCAAGCATTTCCAACCTTTCCAGGAAGAGGTGTAGCTGAAGGAAGCCCTTTTCTGCTCTTTGCTAATACCCAAAGTTTCTAAGACTCTTGATATAAATATGTTTCATACTGGGGTTCCATGAGCGGCAGATCCAGGGAACTGCAGCTTTTCATGTGGCCCTAAACAGGCTCTCACCTCCTTCCCTGTCCACTCACAGCTACGCCGTGACCGTGCAGGAATCTTACGCTCATCCCTTTGACCAGATCTATTACACACGATGCACAGACATCCTCAACTGGTTCAAGTGCACCAGGCACAGGTAAGAACTAATCCTCAGAAACCTGAGCTTCCTTCTGCCTTTTCATCTCCTCACACACCTCTTGTTTATCCAAATGCTTGTAATCTCCAATAGAGATGTGTACACAAAGATGTGTTTTAGGACAGGAATTCCAGGGTATTGAATAGAAATACAGAGATTTTTGCCTGAAGTTTGAGTGAGATCAGTGACAGTCAGTCCCTCATGGGGCCATCCAGGAGAAAGTATCCTTCCACTGGCCCTGCCATGGGATTGGAAGTGTTTATTCCCTGACCATACATAAGCAAACTCTGTTTTCCAAGTCATTGGTGCATGTCCAGGTTTGTAAAAGTCCATAGGAAGTCCATGTGCCTCTTAAATTGTGAATTATCAGGCATTTGAGGGTTAGTGATAATTAGAAATGGACCTGTGTTAGAATTAGAATTGCACCCAAATCTGCACTGAAAATCAGGTAAAATGAAGATTAGCCCATTTCTGGGACTGAATGAAAACTGCTACCAAGGAGTTAATTTTTCCCAGGCTGCAGGATATTGCTCTTATATTCATTCTGCTTCCAAAGTATCCTAATAAATATCCACTAATATTCTCAATCTTTCAAGGGGATTTTAGAAGCCAGTTTGCATCTCAGCTCTCACTCATTCAGTTGCAAGCTGGCTGTCCCCACCATCCCAGCAGGACTGTGGCACTTGGCTTTTTAACTCCTGAGTTACAATGTTTGGAAGTGAACAGGGCTGCAGAGCTTTCTGGAATATTGTATAGATTGGAATGCAGCAGAGTAAATTTGATCACTTTAAATAACACGAGGAACAATAGATTTTGTTCAATTGAGATAATTTCCATGAACTAGCAAAGCTGTTTTGAAGTGTTTGCGGTTAAATATGTAGTTAAATATTACTTTTCTAATGTGATATCTTTGCTATGAATAAATGTAGGAATGCTTCAGAATGCTAAACACCTTTTAACTTCTGTGGACTACAGTATTGTAGTGGGGAAAACAGGCTTTAAATACTGAACTGGGACTATAATGGCACTTTGCAAGGAATGAGTGCCTTGGAAGGGTTAGCAGGCAGGAGCAAATCACCTGGGGCGAGCTTCTCAAGTTGTGCATTGAGAGCAGTTGCCACTGTGGGAAGGTTTTTGTGCAGCAGCTGAGACAGTGGTCTCTGCAGAAGACTCTGTTCCTTCCATTGATGAGAGCTGACCTTGCTGATGTGCAAAAATAAATCATTTATTCTTGAAGAAGCTCCTTGCCCTTGCAGCAGGACTGGGAAAATGTTTTAAGACAGCAGCTGCCCCCAGGAAGAAGCTCCAGTGACTGTCACGAGCACAGTGTTTATAACACAAGTCATATTTCAAGCTTCAAAACAAGTATCGATTCCTACCTTATTGCGGCTTTTATTATCAAAAACCTTTCATGCATTTAAAAATAATTATTGAATGCTATCCTTACTATAATTTAACACAAATATCATGGCAGCAGGAGGCATTGATTTTCAATAGTGTCCAATGGTTTTGTGTTTTGTGGTGCAGGATCAGCTACAAGACCGCCTATCGCAGGGGGCTGCGCACGATGTACCGGCGACGCTCCCAGTGCTGCCCCGGCTACTACGAGAGCGGGGACTACTGCATACGTATGTACACGTGGCACAATTAAAAGTGGGTTTTGGGGCAGCTGTAGATAAATTAAAGGCACTAGGGTTGATTTTCTGAGCTTTCAGCTGGCGCTGATCGCTGGCAGAATTGCGGGTACAGAATATTTTGGGGTGTTTTGGGTACACGCATCTCAAGTAAGTAAGGGAAATTTGGCTGAAGTCATTGGGGAAGGAGTTAATGAAGTTCCTTAGTGCCTTCTTGAATCAGAGCTTACTTCGGGGAGTAATTAATGCAAGTATTCACCAATTTTGAGGAATTAGGGGAACTGAGAACACTCAGGAATAAACTACCACGTAATTTAAGCAGCAGTGTAAAGTTTCTGCCTCTTTTACCTTTGAAAGTCCTTACTTCAAGAGTTAAATGAGTTGAAATCTCATTTTCTTTCACAATGGTTCCTGTCAACAATTTAACTTTTTAAATCTTCTCAAATGTCAGAAGAACTTTCTCCCAACTACACTGTATAAATAAATACAGAGCTCTGGAGTGTTTTAGGTCAATATGGGAGGGGACAAAAACCAAAATGGATCTTTCAGCAATGCCTAAGAGCTTTGTTAATTAAAAATACCTTGTACATTAGTGTCACATGTTTTCAGTATTGCAGCTTTCTGAGTGTTCTGCATGTGTGCAAAAGGAGAGTGGAGATGGTTTCTCTTGTCTAGGTCTTGTGCTGTGAGATTATGACACAAGAAAAACACAAAGAGGTTTTGATCAGCATCAGAATCCAAATTTTATTAACAGGTTTATAATGCCATGGAATAAATGTGAAAATGATAAAATTATCCAGCTAAATTCGAGTATCTTGGCACTGTGGTTTACAGCTATTTCTTTTTAGCTCTGTTGATATTTTTATCTGAGTTCCTGTGTTGGACTCATATTGTAATACACGAGCAGCTGAAAACCATGAATGGACCCTGATCTCATTTTCAGTGACCTTTATGCCAAAGTTACATTCAGGGGGTTTGGACTGTGAAAAATCACCAGCCCTATCAGATAAGGTATTAGAATTATTTTATAGAAAGTGTAATAATTTGATCTTTTGAAGTGCAAAATGCTGTTAGTCAAGTTCTGAAAAACATTAATTGCAACCTATTTTCTTTGCTGGAATCCTTCCTATGGTAAGTATGTACCTACCTTCAAATACCTCAGGTGTCAAGCAGTTGTTCCACATACTTTTATTACAGTCTTGAACTTCACGACTCAGAATCCTGTCTGACACAGAGCATATTTATTATCACTTTTCTCCCTGCAATCTATTGATTTTTTTTATTTTTAAATTGTTTTTTTTTAATTGCCATACTGTCACAACAATAAATCTCTCCAGACTTTCTGATTCTTTGAGGATATTAACATTTGTTTTGAAGTGGTTTTTTTGTTGGTAGTAGTGTTCTGCTGCCGCCAGGCAAATTTTATCTTTCTGTGGTGGAGAAACAGCATAGACTGAAATTTTGCTAATGCAGAGCAGGCAGCAGGTATCTGGTCAGACCAAGAGCCCTGTGTTTGACACAGAGCAGATAATAGTTACACTCTCTCTGCTGTTTACATGTGCAGGAGTCAGGTTCTTGTATTTCATTATCAGCCTGGTGTGTGCTCAGGGACATCTGCTCTCCGTCCTTCCCGGAGATCGGAGCAGCAGCAGCCGAGAGGGAAATGATGTCAGGGAAGAAGTTCTCCATCATGATGGATTCCAGATGCTTGGACTTATTATTTTGCTACTACAAGTAGCCACACAGCAAAGAAAAACCCAAAACCAAACAAAAAGCCTCCTTGCAATTCTCTGAGCCCTCAAGCAACAGTTTGGAGGCACAATATTTTGCTAATGGGATCCTTTTCGTGTCACCCCTTTTGTTTGTAACACATCAAGCCCTGATCCCATTTGTTTTGTTTTGTTTTGTTTTGTTTTTTCCACAATATGTTCCTGTGCCAACAAGCAAATTCTCTCATTCATCATTCTTTGCAGTCAGCAGTGAATTCCATTTTCATTCCTGGAGGCACTTCTCTGCTTTTGCCTTTTTCCATCCCATTTCTTACTTCTCTTTAAACTGTTTTTCTTTTGTTTTTTTTAAAATTTTTCCTAATGAGGTTGTCCAGTACTCCTGTCCCACATTCCTCTAGATACATTCAGTGCTAATCCTCTAAAGGCAGCTGCTCCAAGAGTGGTCAGGACACAAAATTCCACTTTCCTGAGCTGTCCCTGGCAGGGAGGGAAGCTCCAGCCCTGCAGAGAGGGTTCTCCCCGCTCAGCCAGCCCTTTAAAATCCATTCCATTAGCAATCATGGAAGCCACTACAACATGGGGAGGAGGGATACATCCTGCAGTGAGTCTGATGATCAAAAGAAAGTTTGATTAAAAAACAGTGTGTAGATTAAAGGCTAATTGGTTCTTCTTTCATTAATAGCAGTCTTTATTTCTTGCAAAAGTTAAATAGCTTTGTAATTAACAGTGACATGTTTAGACTAGAGAGGGCTGAGTTTAAATCTCTATTAATGACTGTTTCTTGGATTTTAAAGCAGAAGTGAAGGCTTTCAGCTACTGTTTTGATCTTTTCCCTTCTCATTTACTAACTTTTAAAAGGATGTCAGATATATGTCTTTATCTTTGTCCTGTTGGGGTTTACTAAAAAGATTAAGTCTATTAAAATCTACCCTCAGTTCTAAATAACCATGTTGATCCAGAGCTTCTTGCTCTGCCACTTCTCTGGTGTCTTCTTTGCCTTTTTGGCATCTACATGTGCTGCTGCCCCATAAAATCTGGAATTCAGGCACAAGGTCCAATAATTTAACTGGTTGCTGAGTAAATTATAGAACTGATCAGCTCATTACCACTTAGGCTAAATGGTTTTTGGGTATGAAGTTGTCTTTGTGCCTCCAAAGGGCTTGAAATATTTTGGGGTTGCAGTGGTATTCAAAAAATCTCTCCTGAAAAATGCTGCAAATGCGCATCTGCATTTTTTTCCCCTTCACTGATATCTTAGAAATGTTGTTACCATTGTGGGAGCTTTGCAAAACGATTCCCCTTCTCTGAATGTTCTTACACTTGACAGAGCTTTTCCCTGAGCTGTCCCTGAAAACAAACAGCACAGTCTGGGCAGTAAATCAGAGCAGCTATGATTTACTGTACTTTGTATGCTAAGGTAAGCTTTTGGCAGAGCAAATGCATAAACTGCAGAAAATCTTTTTTTAAACAACCACAGGGTTCAACTGCCCTTCAAGGTTTTTGTAAGGATGTTTTAAAATTATATTGCCTAGATTAGTATCTGTGGTAGATAAAGCAGCTTTGAATACATTGCTGCTGAAAAAAAAAAGGGAAAAAGAATATTACATGGTTCTTTTGTGCTCTTTAGCCTGTGAGAAGATGGTAATTGAATAGTTCCCTTTAAGAATATGTCAGGTGGAAAGATGCCCTGTGTGCTAAATGGATGCATTTTTGTCTGAGCGACCAACGCTTTGTTCAGTCTGTCCATTTTAATCTTATTCTTGCACGACAGATTTGTACAGAGGAGACACTTCTTGTGGGGAACAAAGGGTCAGAGACCTGACATCAGAGGGCAGCAGATGGGACTCTGAGCAGCAGCTACTGCCAGCTGGCTTTTGGGCAGAAAAGCACCAACCACAAAACAAAAAGTTGGGAATTCACCTTTTCTTCACAGATTGAGTTGAGCTTTTAAGTGTTTTCTTCACTCTCCTACCTTACTCTCTTTTTCTAATGTCTAAATCTATGCAATGTGACAGGATGTAATAATGACAGGATTAATGATTTAACAATCTGATTTGCTGCCATTTGTCTGTCTTTCAAACCTGCCAAAATTCAGTAGAGTTATAGATTGACCATTTCATGGTGCTTTCCTTTCTTGGCCAAGATATTATTGATCTCAGATTGTTTCTCAACATTCAGCTTTCCACATTACAATTGTCACAAGCATCAGCAGGGCTCCCTGACTTTGACAAATCTTTTTCTAGAGAAATTGTTGGTCTCACTGGTTGAATTTCAGTTTTTACCTACAGTGGTATTTCCCTCAGGCCAGAGGTTGGGGGCATTATTGTATTTACATGTATTTATTTACCCACCTTTTCAACTCACCTTTGTTTGATGCCTTTACTGAATTTCAAAAACAAATGAGAAATGTTCCTTTAATAGCTGACTTGGGGAAATTATGCAAATACAAGGCGTGTTTGTTTTCAGGAGTTTAAATAATGTTTCATAAATTCTGTAATTGCAATAGCCACGCCAGCTTCCTAGTGTGATGTGTGCATTTATAGTGCAGCCATATGAACATTCCCACCTCAGGACTGCATTCCCATTTACAGGGCTCTGTGTCTAGTGCAGTTTTTGTATTCTTTGACAAGGCTGCCTTATTGGAGCCATATGGTTGGATTGTTAAACATCTGTAGCATAGGAGTAACAATTCCAGAGCTTCCTGCCATCTGGATGAATTACAATCCCTGCAATTCCACGCATATGTTCCAGCAGCACACCGACACCACAGTCGAGTGTGCTCATGATGAGAAGAAAAAGAACGGCTTGTGTGATCAGTGCAAAAGTTCTACACTCCTAGAAAACGTTGAATCAGCTGCTTAAACTTCCTGAATATTCATAATGTTTGTTCATATGTCAGATTTGTTGATTTTTTTTCTCTTTATTAGGCAGTAGCTCGTTAGCATTTTAGAAGAAGTGTTGTCCCCTGCTTGTCACCTCAATTTTAAATTCCTTGTGGTGAGCATTCCTGTAACTTGAAAATATATTGTTTGAAAGCTGCTGGACTTTTAAAATACACTTTTCTTATCTTTATAGACACACATTAAAGCCAGTGCTGGTGCTTTCTGTGAGAGCCTTACTGTTACATTATTCAAGTACAGAGTTCTGTACATCAATAATGCAACCTAAATTAGGGGAAATGCTATAGCAGGACATAGATACTTCCTATCAGGGGACATTCTTTTTCTCTGTCTGATTTGGGATGTGTGACAGCAAGAAAATGGT